CCGCGCGGGTATTTACTTCAAATATATCTCGAAGGTTAATTCGTTTCGTTCGGAGATAGCATCATCCTTATCCACGCGTTTCCATTAAATATCTTTTGTGCCATTTTGTTTCGGATCGACTTGCAAGCTTCGCTGGAGTAATAAACGTAAAAATACTAAATCATAATAACAAAATGTCTTTAATAAGAGCACTGCGTGCGCTCTAGTTGGCAGTGAACGTGTGCGCAATGAGCATTGGTCTCGCGGGTAATTCGTTTAAATTAGTTCGTGCTCGACGAGTTGTATACAGCTTCTGTTCTGGGTTTCAAGAGATCTCCAGTCGTTTTAAATGTGAGACTTCGTGATAACACGTTTTCGGTAATTTGTTTTTATTAGGAAATTCGACTAGTGTGCTAATAGTACTGCGATCTAGGATCTGAAGTTGAAAGTATTAAGTTATTATTCATGTAGACACCTTTTACATTTTATTTTTTGTTACAATAAAGCAAACAATTGTTTATTTCGAACTGTTGCCCGCGACTTCGTTCCGGCAGTGTTTAATAAAAATGTAATTCGTTTTTATTCTCTTGTTCTAGACATACTCGTAGTAAGAGTCAATTCTATCAATAAGATTAGCAATTTTAATTTAAAGAAATTAATTATATAAAGTTTTGTCAATAATGCACTTCAGCGCGCCATCTCGAATTCAACTATTTAACTATAACTATGATTGAATCTCAATGTCAAATTTTATTCTATAGAAAAGAGCTGTTTTGAGGATTTTCCCGGCAATTATTCGAATTTTTCTCACCTTTTAAACCCTCCCTAGACCTCCACGAATAATTCAAGACCAAGATAAGATAAATCCGTTCAGCCGTTCTCGAGTTTTAGCGACACTAACGAACAGCAATTCATTTTTATATATATAAATATAGATAACAGTGAGAGCAATGTTTCATCTATGTTAACTGTCTATTTTTTTACGCGTTACAGTCAGGTATGTATATTTACAAACAGTTTCTATTGTTTCCTCTGAATTTCTTGTGTTTACAGCTATTTTGGAAGCCCAATTGCCGCGAGACACATTTTTCATCGCTTTTCCCGGCATTCATTATGTTCCCCGTCCGAATATATTAGCAAAAAGCATAGTTCCTGATACTTGTTTAAACAGACGTCATCTAAAGTTCGCCTGAAATGTGTACACACAGTGAAGCATGAATATTCATGGCTACAATGCGGAGCGCGCGGTCGTATTGTGTGCGCGCGCTGGTGCTTTTATCATCGTCGACTTTCCGAAAGATTTTCATCAAAACTTATCTCACTCTCCCACTTGTCCGATTCGCAAAACTTCCGCACGGACAAACTATGCTTCGGCGAGCGTCCGGAAGCACGCCGACGTCGAATCAAAAATACAATGTAATTTTATCTTTTTGTTTGGCGATGCCGAAGAGCACAATGGTCGTTCAAGTGCGGTCGCACAGCGGCAGCGACAGCAAGTGCCAAAAAGGTAAATACCATTGTGCTCAAGTAAGCGAAGCTTTCCGCTGCGTTTTGCGCGCAAAACTAAAATCTAAATTAATGTCGCCTGTATTGTCGCCCCGAGAGAGTGCGTTCTGCATTCGTTTGCTGGATTCTGCAAAATGCAAACGGGGCAATTTTAATGCACTCGAAATTAATTTAAATATTCATGTTGAAATTAATTGTCGCCTCGTTGGAATAATGCTATTACAAGAAATTGTGTGTGAAAATATGCACACCAAGAAAATGATGAAAAAGTCAAGAAGTTAATTTTCAACCGTGTGGCATTTGTAATACACGAACCAAAAAAAGGCAGCTCATTTTTATGCGTCTTATGATTTGATTACGCAGTGAGCAAATATTTTTCACCGCCGCAGCCGCAATTAGACGAGTTGCGGGATCGTTTTTCTTGTGTTATCGTCGTTTCCGTCTGTGGTAGATAACCAGATTAGACGATTTAGAACAGGTGGAAAATTTAGGACATCCTCGTAAATTTTGCACACGTGTAAGACGCATGTGCAGTAGTAAACCACTTGAATTGTTGGCTTGCAATTAATTTACTAAATTAATTTGAATACTTTACAGTTTCCTGATTAATTTCTCGGGATTTCTAACGTGTTTTTACCCTAAGTTATTTTTTATACCAAATCCTACTTAAATTAAGTCATAAATTTTAAATTTATTTCATTGTTTCATACAGATTATGATTTTTTTCTTGCGTAGGCTTTATTATATTAATATTTGGTTTAATTAAGAAAGTTACAGGATGACAAATATTTAACTCTTTTTTAATCTCACAGCCTCCACGAGTGACAAGGACTAAAGACCGGGTCGCGCGCTTAATTTTACAATTTTCTTAATACGCGCTCCAACTGCCGTGCAAAGTGTTCATATATAAAATGATATCTAAAGTGCCCGACTTAATACTTTTTGTCGTGTCGTATCAACCATATTCATAAATCACGCTGGAAATTACTTTTTTGACGCGTTCGTATGAAACCACAATGTATGGCTGTGGCGAAGATGCATGCACAAGTCTACTCGTAACAAAAACTGAACGAATTGTCGCTGGCAAAAAATACACATTGTGAGAAGGGCAAGCGAAAGGATAATAAAAGGGCAACTAGGAAAAGTGGTTGAGCATGTCTAAGTTCAAAGCAAAGTACAATTTCAGAGCTAATTCACGATTCGTTAATATTTCTAGCATTCTACAACAAAATATTAATTTTTTAGGACCTAGAATCATAAAATATCAAAAATTAAGAGATATTAAAATGATTCAATTTTCCAAATTCGCAAAACATACAAAAATGGCTGAATTATTCACAAAATTAAAGCAAAACATTTAAAAAATGTTTTTATCTGTAACTAAATATGTTATCCAAAACCATAAGTTGAATATTACTCAACCACAATTAATTTTTTTGTTAATTAATTTAATTTCAAAAGTTAATGTCACAAGGGCTTCCCTAGCTAATTCGGTCAGCAACTAGAGACGCACCATGCATAAATGAATTTGTTATGACTAGACATTTTAGAAAGGCGTACGACCATGTCGAATTTACACTAACAAATTTAATGAGGCGTTGGCGCCTGAAACAAAGGCTTCTTCCCCGGCAGATTTAAGCAAATGTCATCTATAGACAAGCTATAAGCTCAAAAAGCGCACTGAAACTGTTCACTGTAAAGAATAACGCGCACATTTCTACCACGAATAAAACAAAGACGTGTTTTGCAAGAAGGGCGCGACGGAAATGAATTTAGATCCCGGTTAATTCTTCGACCGCATAAAGTTATACAACGCTTTTTCTTGCTTGATAATTTATGTTAGGCTTCATTTTTCTCGCAATTCGCATTTCAGCGTTCTGCGCACTTTTTCCGTCTGCGTTTTGTAATAAACTCGCTCAAATTAGCCATTAGTAAGATTTCTACGCTTTTAATGAGTCGCAATGCCCGCGAGTGTGCCCGTCAACTTCTTATAATTACTCACAAAAAAAATAAAACAAACGTTTTGCAAAAACTGAATGAAAATTGCGGTGCGGTGTTATCGTTGACACAACCATGTCGCAATGTACAAGTATAACTTTCGTCTTTCTTAATCGAATCAACCCCATCGGTGATACGGCATAGAAACCATCCCTGTCAAACCGATAACAGATATCTCATGATTAAGGGTCAACGCGGTTATCTTCCAGCGGCATGACCCTTAATTGGCAAAGGTAACGGTAATAGACAATGACAAGATATCTATCACGGTGGTGGAAGGTCTTATAAACTAATGCATGACACCAATTACGTCTGTAGCTATTAATAGTAATTTACAATGGGCAAACAAAGTCGTAGCGACGTTGATGCATTGCAAATATTTGCGGGAGCGCATCGGCGAATGAAACACATTCGATTTAAAAATATTGCGGCGCGTGTTACGTCGAAATTGATAAATCGATGACACAAAGTGACGGAGCGAAAATAATGCTGTCAAAACAGGAAATACGGTGTGTGTATGTCACGTCAACGGTATGATGCGCATCAGTTGAACAGAACAATTAGTTTCTTGTTGCTAGTTTTGATATTCTGATAAATGCGTGAATAAATATGTGTGTAATATAACAATGAAGTATTTAAGTACCTCCAATGCGTTGCGCACCCCATTTATTTGAAATAGAATCTCTTTTCTTGACGCAATTGACATAAAACTCAATTTTACGACCGATGAATCGAACTAAATCAAAACTGTAAAATATATTCAACGTTATGTTGTGTTAAATATTCTTCTCAATGCGTTTCGACGCGTATTTATCAACATGCAGTTGATAAACAACTCCGAATTTGGGCATGCAAAAACTAGTTTAACTCAATATGTTTCGTCTTTCGTTTTGCATCATCCGATAAACGAAATATTTCTATTCCAATCGTGATGCTACGCCGTTAAATTAATTAACTTTGGAACGATCACGTTTCGAGGAAATATATTTTGGTGCACGTTTGCGATATCGGATTATAAACGAGCGGCGGATCGCATTGAAAACGTGAACACAAAAAAAAGCGAAGAGGAGTGATGCGGTGCGACGGCCGGTCGAAAAATGTGAACGACATCTTAGCAGCGGCACGAACGAAGAAGAAGAAAAGTGATGCTGGGGCGATATCGAAAATTGGAGGCACTTACATCACGCACAGAAAACGACTTCCCATAACGATAACAATAAAGCGCCGAGGCGATCTCGCGCGATACGGACGGTGGACGAGATAATTTTAAGCGCGTTATGTATTTTAACCTTAGCAGTTTCCTAATGGTGCCAAATGTAAGAACGTTATCGACGTGCGCGGTAATGTAATGTAGCATGTATGTCCGTAAACACGTTCGGGCAGACATTGCCAAACGTATAAATCTTAATTATGTGTCGAGCGCGCGTGCTCACGTGCCGATATACTCGAAACAAAGGACGCGCGAGGTTTCCGACAATGATTTTCGGTGATCGAATGAAAAAGTTGCATTTTCTTACCGAACGTATACACTTGCACAGCGAACAACAACAGTGACCAGTAAACCAACGGCATTGTCATGTTTATAGCGATAACTGGTAAACACAAAATCGTTCACTTCTCATCTCGACACTTTCACACAATTTATTCCACTTATTAATCCAAAGATGATACACAAGTTCACGTATGATCCAATTTGTTAGCACAGCTGGAATAACATCTGAAATGCGCGAAAAACTCAGTCACGCGTTCGGAAAAACTCGCGCGCTTCCCGCGGCGTTCGGAGCGTGTGCACACCAACAGCGAATGACGTCGGTTGGGTTGTACGCGGTACGCGGGGATGCACGAACATCGCGCGAGTCAGACGAGTGGAAAACTAAATCACATAACCTCGGGGCCGTTTTGCTGCCGCCACCGCCGTCGCCACCATCGCCGCTCTTGCCACCGAACGCGCGCGGCTCCCTACTTCTCGACGCGCGCGGCAAGCGTGCGCGCTAGAAACGCGTAGCTTGCGCGCATCCTCGCCGAATGTAACCAGCGCACCGCGGCCACCCTCACCGAAAAACCTGTTCGCCACGACGAACACCGCCAGAACCTCTTGCTGCGATGATTACAAAATCCACGGCGCCATGAACCAACGTAAGTCTTAAATTTTAAATGAACGGTTCGTCATCGAGCATATACCCCTTAAATGTATGCTTTTTCTACGATTTCTAACCTACAAAACGAATAATTTTAATATTTCACTAATAAAACTGTTTTTTTTTTTAGTTTATAGCCATTTATTTAACTGAAAATTGAATTAAGCAATGCATTTGCTAATATATACACCAAGGACGTGCCCAAATTGTTTTCAAATTGCATTCGGGCGATTAAAAGTTTCAACATGAAGAAGGGAGTGTAAGAATATGAGCGAGTCCGAAGGCGATTGCATCGGAATGATTTATATTAACGATGTGTCCAATTTAATAGCTCCCAGCATGCTCATCTGTGTTTCTCAAATGCTTTTGTCTGCTGGGGTAGGACGGCACGAGTCCTACGCGAGGCAGCGATGGATGAATCGAAGGCGGAATCGTGGGCAACGTCCTTAGACATCGTGCGACGAAGGAACCGGGGTTATAAAGGGAATCGTGAACATTTTTATTCCGAACCTCTTGGGTGAGATTGAATCAATTGAAGGTATTTTACCATTACGCTTTTAGTTGGCTGTAAAAATCGAATGCCAGAGCAAAACTAATGACCTCTCGACGGCATGCATATAATCTGAAGCGGCGTGCCACGTCAACTTGCAGGCGCTTACTTGTTTTTGACATCATGAAGGTATTCGCCTGTTTCCACGCCGCCTGAAAAATCACTTACGATGCGCTAACGTATTAGCATTCTAATCGTCGGTTACATCGTGCCACACAGATTCATTTATCACGTTCGTGTGGTAGTTGTTTCGGCGCACGGGATGGATCTTTGTCCGCCGACGTCAGCTTAGTTTTCGCACAGCACCTTTTCCTCCTGGCTGTTTGTAAAGACGGTGCGACGTCCGTGTGTTGGGCGGACGCCTCGTGCTGGGAAATCTACGAATACGGTTAGGTAACATTATTGCCTTGTTCGCCTATTCCCGACAGCCAGCCTAATAGGTTACGTATTTTAACAAGTTTCATCATTCAAGCTATAAACCCCTCCTTCATACCTGAAGCGAATAAATCATTTTTTATGTACTGAAGGCATTGGCTTGCAGTCTACCTTCGTTCGATATCTACGCTTGATTTATGGATAATGTACGGCACTAGAAAATCCTACATTATACTATACTAGACTTTTTCAAATTATATATCGTGAATAGATTTAGTCCTGGCATTTTAAAAACTATTTTTAATTTGTGACGAAACTCAAATTCAATATCTGTGCAGGATCCATGTAGAAACAAAAATAAAAGAAGACCTCTTGTTGGTATTTTTGGCAGTTGGAGTTTACCGTTCGCACGTCGAGCACAGTGCTCGGAAGGTTCGCCCCCGAGGGAGTTGACTTTCAACCTCTTCCTGAGGTTTGCCCGCGTTTCCACTTCTGGAATACTAATGCCTCAATTTTTCAATGTGTCATCTTGGAAAATAAACAATTGCGTCATTAAAGTGGCAGCGGCAGGTTTTAGAGCGTTGTATGCAGCTTCGCGGCGGCAAGAGCGCCGCGGCTTTGTTTGCGTAGCACTGGGGCCAAACAGCCAACCGCCGCCGGTCGACCAACCTGTACATGTGTGTCCACCAAGTTTTGACAGTGACATGCCTTTATTGTCCTTCATTTGCTTAGCGCGGAGCGGGCCTACCATTCCGCCTTCGCCGCCTCCTCCCAGCCCAAAACAAGCACATGAATTCAAACGCGCCGCCGCAACCTATAAACACGAAACTATAAAGCATGTCACTATCTCGGGGGCAATTAGATAACGTGCAAACTTTTTATGGACGGTCTTGGCGGTTCATTCGCGCGATATGACAAAAAATATATTATGCTACATTTGTGTTGAGAAATATTTCATTTTCATTGTGTTTATTTAATGGTATATTAAGTATCAAGTGGTTAAATGAGAGTTTTAGTCACGGGATTGATCAAGGACGAGCTTAGCGAGTGTTTGACTGACGGTACATAGCATTTTAACTAGTTTTAGTAAGAAAATTCGCAGTTGCAAGCTCCACCCGTGACTAAAGCCCGTGACTAAAGTACTTTAACTACAGCTTTGGCCGTCTATGTTTAAAATACCACTTTTTGTGTCTCAAAACCGTGAAAAACTAATTTTTTTAGAATTGCAGTTAAATTCCACAAGACGAGTTTATAGCATGTAATAGAAAATAAGCTAATATAGTAATTCGTATATATCCTTCCTTGTACAATCCGCGACGGGTGTGAACACGATGGGATATAATCTATAATCTTGTTTCATCGCCGGCGCACATAGCAAAGTTAGGTAATTATTAGCATTTCGACCAATACTACAAAGTAAGCCTACATCGCTTGCGCATGTATCAGCGATTTTCCCCGGGTCTAATTTTGCTCCTTTTTGCCCCCTTGCTTTAGCCTACGCCAGCGTGTAATACTTGCAGCATACGTGTTCGCATGTGAACGCTTTAACTTCCGGCCCCATAATTATTGGAAAGTTTGTAACGAACCCACTCACCGAAAGCTGGAAGCATCTCTGCCTACACCACATCATCTTTTGTAAATATGAATATTAGGCGAATATTAAATAATTATAAATTAAAGCCGCTCGTTCGTTAGGCAGCCAGCGGCGGCAAAAAGCACCCCCAGCAGCCAGTAAGTGGAAAGTCGGTCAAATTATGCTTTAAACAGCAACTTTTCCACGAATTTCGAAATTTTGTTTGCCATTAATTTTCTTTCAATTTGTATAATTATTCTACTATAAACTTACCTACGTAATGTTCTGCTGAAATAATTAAATATTCGGTTAGTTAATCATAAATTTATATTTATTTAATAAAGTACACATTGGTCTTAAAATATTCAGCTAATTTCTACAAGTTTTGAGGCAAACAGTTAATTACAATTAAATTCAGCGAATGGCAACTGCATTGATCGTGAAAATGTTCGTGGGATTCGTTTATTCACAGCGGTTCACACGTCGCAATCCATTTCATTCACTACTATCGTGAAAGTCGAACAGGTCGTAGTCGTTGGGCTGAAGTGCTGCGAGCATTTCCTCTTCGTCTCCCTGCAAAAGTTGCATTAATGCTTCGGAATTGTGCTTCGCTTAAAGGTTCGGGATAGAGAGGGGTGTTGCAACCGTGGACGCATTGTATGCGACGCGTTAGGGGTGAGTGGGCGGCGGCGGATAACCACGCGCGTATTGAATACGCGTCAAATGTCGCGCATTGTGCTCGCCACTTACGTTCGGCCTAACAAGCGCCACCGGAATCCATATATTTCCTACCGCTTTCTTTCGCTAATGTCATTCAAACGACTTTTTTACAATTACACTGCGGTCCGGGAATGAAGGAGTGTCGCGCATTTATACGCCTGCCGGACCATAAATCTCCCCCATGTCAGAAGGAGCAAAATAAAAAGTTTAGATAATGAAAGGTACAACATAAAATGTAAAACGTATACATCGCTGAAATAGAGTCGACAACTGAAAGTCGTATAAATTCTGCGCGTGGATATAAATTCTAGCCTGAATCGGGACTAGGCGTGGAAGGAAAGCGGAGTGCTATGCTGCGCGCGGCCAAGTAACTGGCAATCCACTCGAAGAAGTACCATTTGTTGGACTGAAGGATTACAAAACGCAAGGCGCGCGCGTGTGCTTGAAAGGAATTTTGTGGCTTTCGGCTGTTTTGTTATGTTGCTAAACTTGCCCGGTCTTTTCGTGATTCTTTCCGTGGGTGTTCCGGAAACTAATAAAATTGATGATGTTAACTGTCATTTTACTCTAGATCTAGTCGAAAAATAAAACAGTTATCACTTTTCACCGCCCCCCCAGGACGAAATGTTTGAGGTACGAGACATGAGTGGGATAGTTAATTAAGTAAACATAAAAATTCATCCTACTTACGTATTCTATTGCCAGCGGCGTAGGGTAGTAGCAGGGCAAACACTCCATATAGGATACGCCGGAGTTGTCTGCTGTGCACTCGCATGTCTTGCACGCGTTCGCCACGGCCGACTGCGCCACTCGTTTTGCAAACACACCGAGAATCTTGCGAGCGGATTTCTCCCCGTCCAACTTTTTGCCGGCGAAGAGTGAACCTGCAATCACATCGACCCCATTGGATACCACTCGAATGCCGATATATCAATCGGTTGAGTTTTTGGCATAAGATGTATTGCCTTTGGTCAGGCGAAATTCAACGAACAATACAATATTCGCGTAACCAGCGATTTGTCGCGATTCTCGTAAATTTTAGAATAAAACATTTGAATGATTTAGTCCGTGGGTGATATAGATACAATTAAACCAGGTCGCGGCGAGAATTTATCGCTTTTCCGGTGAAAAACGTCTTCCCAGCGCACAGGTGATAATTTAAAGTGGCAATTGTGTTCGAAACTAATGCACTATGAAAAGATCTACGCCTTGAAATAAAAAAACATGCCACGGAGGCAAACTAAATAGTTCCTTTGAATTTCCATTAAAGCTTGCGTGCTTTAGTGTCCTGTAGCCGGCGGCAAGGACTAGTAGCTCGCGTAGCGTACGAACATCAGGTTTATCTCTCGGATTTTGACCGGCGGCGGCGAACGCGAGCTCACGGACGGTATACATCCTGTTAGCCACCGGCTGATCTGCGTTTCGGCGATAGTTCCAAACGTGCCACCGATGTCTTACTTACCGTTAGTTTCCAATGACAACGATGCGCACACACCCAGACTGCTCTTCGGTAATTGCACGCTCTTCCTCAGTGCCTTGTCTCCTTTCAGCTGATCCATATCCTTCTTTGCGTACGCATATCTGCGGTCGACGCCTGCAACGACAACACGTTTTAACAAGAATAATCATTATAATATTCCACTTCGTCTCCTCTTTTGTGAATGGAAAACATATCCCATCCGAATGCAATTGCTGCACCTTTATATTACTACTCGTATCGTAATTCGTCCATGGTGGACCAGAGTAAGCACAGTATGGTGATGACATCTGACTCATTTTAATTAATCTGCCGTTCAACTCAAGCTTTTGCATTTACATAACGTGCATTGCCAGTAGCAAACAATTATCTTTCTTTGAGCGAAGTATTATTTCATTTTTAATTGAATTCCCTTGCAAAGACCAGGAACACGTAAAGTCACCTGCGCTCCGCAGCAATTTCACTCGTACCCAGCTGCCTGAGTCGTATTTGTTTTTCTTCTTTTGAGCAAGTGGCATTTGAAAACAGGTCGCAGAGCTAAAACACCAATGGCAAAGGAACTGCTTTCTTTTTCCAAAGGTACCTAATTGAATTTTTTGTTAATACACATATTCGCTTCTTTCTCAGGTTATGCGCACCGCAAGGGTCTTTGTATAGCAAATTGTGCAATGTTCCCAACAACCAGAGAAGTCTAAACTCCGAAACGGTAAAGACTGAGTTCTTTGCTCACCAATAATGCTATATAATAATGTGGAATTGCGTAATCCGTAAAGGAAAAACGTTTATATTATTCTTATCGAATTTTATTTAATTTTTAGTTCATTACTTAGTTTTAACATAATGAATAATTATGCATATATTATGTATAAGTGCACTAATCAAAATTCAGGTATCAAACTACTGAAATTAATATTGCAGCAACTATGCAGCGCATAATGAAATTCCGACGCTATTAAGAGTATTAAAAATTAATACTAACGTTGATACTTTTACAACTTGTGACTACGTTAATTATAATAAATTCAGAATTTGAGACTTTAATTAATATTTTACATTAATAATGTTTTCATCTTGCGCTTTGAAAGTTTCAAGCAACAAAATAAATGCATTCACGATGTTTCAGTATCTTTAAATAGAAAACATTCCAGGAAATTCCGGAAAAAAAATTAAATTCCACTGTTAATGCATATTTCCGTATTTTTTTGTTTTTGTCTTTTTAATACATTTTTTTAAATATTTAAGAGAAGAGCAAATATTATTTGATAAACAAGACGCAATATTTCAAAACTATGTGACCTATTAGCTTTCCATTATTCTAAAACTGCCGAAATACCCGAACGTAAAATACTGATTATTCCACAACAACATAAAGTTTCATCGGCAAGTGCGAATGAATTCAACCAGCATGCGGCCACACGCAAATGTGCATCCAATCGCCATATCACATTGAAATGACACTTGCTAAAATCGCAGCGAAATTATCGAACGACCACGACGCGATGAAACGCGACACGCCGCGCTGCTTTGTTCCGGAAAACAATGCCCGTTTTGCGCGTTAATTAAAAAGCAGACCTTTGAATCGAACATTTGTGCCGTACCATTACGCACGCAAGTTTATTTTTGGGCGACGGTCTGTTTTGCGTTATGGGTCGAGTCGGGAGCTGAACAAGATTTAATTGCGAGGTGATATTATATACTTGTTGGTGAAATGTAATAGCAGGCAGCCTCAGAGAGAAAAGTCTGCTGCCTGTGGCCAAAGGTCATGTGAATCGTATAACATTACCAGTACATAATACAGCGTATAGAGATATTGCCTTAATTAACGATTTTTAGCTAATTACAGCTACGGAAACGATGTTACGCTGGGATAACTTGTGCGCGCACCCTGACTATAATGTGAGATAATAATTGTTTGGAATCACCGCGATGCAAATTGTGATTCCTTCACGCATGTTTCACAAAATTTACGAACTAAATCGGGGAGTGAATTAGCAGACGCAGGTGCCTGCCACAAATGCAAATTAATTCTTTTATCAACTCGAAAATTCAAACCCAATCGTAATGCGGATGCGTCCCAAAATGGCAAATATACAAGGCACGCACAGCGTCCGGAAACAGAGTAATTTCCTCATGCGCGTCAGTTAGTAATTCATAGCGTTTACTGAGGATCAGAAAACTATAATCGACTATACAAGGCGATTTGCTCATTAAAAAGTATTCGTATCAGGCGAGATATCGAAAGAAATTGTTGCGCCGCTGGGTGCGATACAAATACCTATACCATGGGCTCGCGTTTCGCATTCTTCCCGCAGTATTGTGCAGGGCACGTACTGTTCAATGCCATTACGGAAGATTGCTGTTTATGTATCGGCGCGCGTCCTGAGGCCATGTAGATTAGATCTCCTCAAACCGTAGCTTCCTCGTCCATGCAACACAAGGGTTCTTGTACAAAGCGCGCATAACAAAACATACTAATCTCAACCAAGCGCGCGATTCATTAGCAAATTTCGCAAACAAATAAAAGTCAACAACGGCATTTATCCGAAGAAACTTGTTTTCAATTTCACTGTGCGATTGGTGCATTAAACCTTTGTAGAAATAACATTTTGACGATGATTGATAGATCCTAGTCCTAGTGTTTTCCACACCAATCAAAATTTTGATGAAGTTCAGCAAACAGTTGCACCTGCTCGTACTTGCGCAGCTATTCGCATGCAATTTTCGTGGTTTACAGTTTGGAATAACATTATAATTATATAGAGCAACGTGAGGCAACATGGGGCAATGCTTTGTTATCATGTTCACATTTCATGAATATTCCTCATTCTGATTTAAGCAATGTTACCGCAGAATGAATTAACCAAATAGTTTCCTGATTTCAACGTGCTTACTTGGATCATCGATAACAAAGATTCCCGATTTCATGAATGAGCTGTAAAATTTCCTTGTATGCACTCGAGATTCAAACCAAATCCTGTGCTAATAAACTGTTCCCATTTGTTGATTCAAGTAGTAATATCTAAATGACATAAATAAGTATATAGAATTTTGAATGACAGCGTTCTGGGATTGTGCAAATCCACAATCCGCAAAGGTCTACAAGAACGCACCGGTAGGCCGCAGTCGACTGTCATGGTAAATGTAATCGCCCGCCGGATGGACATTTAAACAAGTAACGACTCTAGTTTACATTGTTTTCCATGTAAACGGACTATACATCATCCGAAATTTGCATTCGACAAACGAGGCATGCACGCTCACATGCGCTTCTAAATAATTCTCCCAACAAACGCGTGTGCTTCGTATTTTTCCACACGCCGAACAAGAACACGTATACTCCTCCAACATCGACTGCTCGTTTCACGGTCGAAGGGAATAAAAATAATAGCATCGCAATTCGCAAACGCAACCCGCCTGCGAAATTCCCCAACTTATATCAAGAAAGAAGTAAACCGATCCAAATTAACTTCCTTTCCCTTGTTTGGCACGCAGGGCCGCGGTATAAAATGTCGAGTCATTTAAGCTGCGTAGCGCACATTCGGAATGGAAAGCGAAGAAGTGGAAGAAAAGTACTCACCGAAGGTGGTTTTGATTTTGCCCGTCTTTTTCGCCCGAAACTCGTCGTTCATTAATATGTGTAGAGCGATGTCGTTCTCCAACAGCAACTGGTGTATGGTGGTGTAGTCGAGCTGGAAAGTAATTACAAAATAATGTTTCGCTCATCCTGCGGAGGAAGGATTTAGCAAGACCGCCTCCTGATACATGGGCTGCTTTGGGGCGTATACATGCATTAAGGGTCTGCTTTTTATCGTGATCATCAGTGTGCGGACTACTTAATATCATGTAGGTAGACCTCGTAATTTTTTTCAAAGCTTTAAGTAAATCACAAAAATTCGTAGAAAAAAGTAGAAAATTCAATGATTGAACAGTTTTGATATTAATTAATAATGTAAATTGCTGCTTACCGTCATATTAGCCTCTTTACAATCAGTGCAAGGGAGTAAGATGAATGATTTTGACACGCCCGGGCGGAAAATCAACGTAGTTGCGAATGCAATAGCTTTGAATATGTCGGCACTTCCGTTACCTGCAAAGCAAAACAAGACGTTTACAATCGTGTTTATTGTATTTTTCAAAGGAAATCACACAATACCTGGCATAATGTTATCGAAATACTTTGGAAGCAGACGATGTGATGTGAAAATTCCATCTTCAATGATGCTGCGTGGTTCGTCAAAGACTCCGTCACCACCGAATACAACTACAGAGTATCTGTAATTGTATGATAAAAATATTAAAGTAAAATGCAACTTCGAAAAAGAAAAATGCATAAATCGATGTCTTACCGATTCGTTCTGTATTTTAGTGAAGTTATTTCTCGGTCAAGCTCCTGCACGAACTCCTCCATTCGTTTGCGAATGCGCAGATCTTTATTGCAGGCTTTGGCCTCAACGATAAATACAATGTCCGTCGAGGGTGGCAGTGTGTCGTTCGACATCTTAACGAATGTGCCTTCCTCGATATCGGTTCCATTCGCTAAATTACATCTGCAATATAGATGTATAAATATTAAGCCCCCCGACGTATATATTCCAAGGTGAGTAATGTAAAAGCAAGAAAACACTGGATATAAATCTGTTCGTAAATTATGCGAGAACTTTAACTGCACTACTCGTATATTGAATGTGAGTTGTTGCTCTTTACGGGGTGCAGACATTTATGCATCACTTATGAGAATGCATCACTCGAGCACAATAACGTAGAGCACTCCACACATGATTGCAATCAATGGGCGGATGTGTCAACAATACGAATTGGGCATTTTCGGCACGTGCCTAGCAAGAGGGTCGCACGACGCGCTCAATTATCGGCTTTCGCATCAAGGATTAACGCAATAAAATCAAGCCTATCATATAAGTATACTCCACCACTATGTCTATATTAATCACTTACTTGACGCAGGCGTCTGGAATCCGGAGTGGAGTATTAGAAAAAGCGCACATCTTCATGTAAGCAATCGCAGATATGCACGCCTCGTGCGCGGTGTGACTATGCTTGCACATTTCGAAGAAAGGAGCGACGGGCACGCGGTCGAAACACGAATCGAACGGCGACACTTTGCTATCGAAGAACGACGTGCACAGCGTGTCGACTTCCGGCGTCACCGCTGCAACAGTGTGACGTCCTTTTGCTTTTTCCTTTTCCAGCGACGTCGGCATGTTGACGCACGTTGCATCCAGAGACCAGCTTTCGGAAAATCGCTGCAAGTCGGTGGTGGCGAGGCGAGTTTTATTCGGCGTCGATAAATCATCGTACGGTTCGTTGTTCATAGTACCCCAGAGCCCGGCCGTCTTGCCAAAATACCATCCTGCGGGAGATGCAAAACTCATTAAGGGATCCACGCGCAGACGTGTTGAACTTACCCGCGACCTCAAACAGGCATATGTCGAATTTCATATTGCACTGCAAGTTGAATCCCATCTCACTTTCAACTGTTACAATATCAGCTTCCTGGTAAACGAACGCTTCGCCTACCTGGAACGGGAGAGCGGCTCGCTGTGTATCAGAACCTCGGTGAATAGTCTGTAAACGCAACAAGATTTTAGACGTAGAAAACATTATTATTATTAGAAATCTATTGTAAAAACCTTTGAAAGCATATCAATTCGAATCAGAGATCCATGAATCAACAGCAACAACTCGTGACTTTTTGGTGTGGTCTTTTTGTAAGACACGGCGATGGAGAAGTTCCTATCCAGAAAATCAGATGCCAAAAGATAAGTACAACTACCATCAAACTCATACACCTGGCCATCAAAGGTGACGTAGTACTGAGACCCAACCAACATAGCTTGAGCTGTGAATCAATAATATTTCATATGAAATAATTAATTTTACATTTGTGCATATTTTATTTCAACCTTTGAATGGAGGCAGCCAGTCCATTGGATCGGTGTACGGTTTGTAATCGTAGTAGAAGTTCGAGAAAGTCAATTTCGATGTGCTGAAGAAGCCCTGTACATCATTGAATGTCTTGTATTCGGGAATTTCCTGAAAGAACGTGATCGTGAGACGTGACGCAGGCAATAGTTGACTACGAAATTATACTTGGAACTTGGGGGTTTCATTAAACGCATGCCATGACATCGGCAATTTTTGCTCGAGATGCATTATTCCATCAGCGGGTTCAAAGAAGAACTTGGTTTTTGCCTCTCGGTACCTGCTCAGAGAATGAAGTAAAACACGTGTATAGGAATATAAACATACATTAAATATAAAAAGACTTACCTGTTTTCTGCTTGAAGTGCAGTTTGTTTCATATCAGTTAATTTCGCGTGAATAAGCGAGATAAGTCGATGCAAACGATTCTCAATATCAAAGTAATCATAAAACCATTTAGCTTTCACCTCAATTTCATTGTATTTATCAATCAATACACCAATAGATTTCAATTTCTTTAATTCATTGATTTCGTCAACAATCTCATTGACGACATCTTGCAGCTCACGTCCGAATGGCACCAGTTTAAAATACTTCTCTTTGATGAAGTCCCACGCCACTTTTGAGTACTTATACACACTGCCGATTGTATCGTTGCCGGTGATATCATGGTAGAAGCGATCAAGATCGTGCGTGAAATTCGATATTTTGCTGACGTACGGATTATCGATAATGTCGCTGTTGCGGATGTAGAGGAAGTCTGGAACAATCATAACGTCACGCAGCGGAACTCGCATAAGCCGCGCGCGCAATTAACAAACCTAAAATTTCCGTGCCGGCGTTCCATATGATCGTTTCAAGATAATGAAGGAGCGTGATGAATTTCGGTTCGAGGGCGGCGAGCGTCTTGTGCCAATTGACAAGGAGCATTCGGTAGGTTTGGTTCCACAACTCCTCCACATAGCGTATGAACGCAACGTGCATGTCTTTAATAAAGTTGTCATATTTCTCAACGAGTTGCTTCATGCCTTCGGAGAGATGCTCGAGCGCATCGCCTTGGAAGAATGCGTTAACAAACTCGGCAGCCTTTTTGTAGTACTCTTTAATCTACTCAACAATTATTAGAATATCGATTTAAACATTAACAGAAAATACGCAATACCTTATTAATTATCCAACTTATGCTCTTCTGAATTTTAACACCTGAATCACCCATGACTTCCCAAATTTCATTGAAAATCACAGGTAAAGATTCAATGTGTTTCCGAATGGATAGTTCGTCCACCGCCTGAACAATAAACCCAACCACGTTTTTGATGTAGAATTCGTTGGCGTTGTACGACTCGTTGAGGAAAACTTTAAGCTCTTCAAGATCTTCTTCGATTACGTGTAGTTCCCTAGAGGATGCATTATTTATATTCATAAGCTTCGCCAGCATGATACATCGTCATGTGAAATTAGATGTGCCAGCAGGAAGCATCATTACAGCGCGCTTCAAAATTCGCTTGACCGGTTGAATTTATATATCGGGCAGATTGGCCGATTTTCCTGCCGGCCGATCAAACCGGTGAATCGGCTGACCGCACGAACGATTTTCGAGTTTAGGACCCGAGTTGTTTACTGTCTACCCCGAAATCACACCAAACGACAAAGTAATTTGCTTCAAATTGCAATTTTTAGAATAAATTAATAAAATATAAATCGATTCGCGAAGTAGGTACAACATTTGATATCTAATATTATGTCCACCTACTTGATGTCGGCGATGAATTCCTCCATGCGAGGTTTCGAGTCCTGCCAAATATCACTGAGAGCATCCGCCATCTCAGAGCGGACATACTGTCGCCAGTAGTCACTACGCTCCATCGTGTGGTTGTAGAGGCCGACACTGAGAGCTCGTATCCCGTCCTGTAAATATTTTCATACGAAATTGAATACTTTTGTGCGTGGCTTCCACATAAAAAGCCTATGTGGACCCAACAGGCAGATCGGACGAGGTAGAATAACGTTTGATGACTATCATAGATAGAATAGCATCTGATAGAACGAGGACCCGCTCCGGGTCCGGATTCGATATGATATGTGTACCTTAATATTCTGCTTCAACTCGGGTCTCCACCGGAGGCTGGCGACGATCAGCCGGGAGTGATTCAGCTTGAGAAAATAGGAGACGTCCGAGATGCGGTCCTCATCATAATCGCGCCAGATATCGAAGTAGGCACTGCGTGCATCCGGGATGTAGCCGTACATGTGCATGCTTTGACTTCCGTCTGTAAATCATTGTGTGAAATACGCGCGCAATCGCGTTTAGAAAAGTTACGACGTTTCAAAGAATTATGCATATACCTTCAGTGAGATTCAGTTCTAGTTGTAGCAACTTTTCGACGAAATTGAGGTAAAACTCTCCAGAGGCATTGATGTCTTTCTCATGTATGGCTGTTACGTTGGCGGTGTAGAGCGGGAAACTTCCCGCATATCTACCCCACAAATAAGACAATTCGTGGAGAGTTTTGCGCTGCAAGAAGAACAAAAGTTTAATTTTTTAACATTCAAAGAGAAATTTTGAAACATTTTATTTTCTTAAATATATAACAAAATCCAAAAGAATTAATTTATCGTAACAAGTGTTTTCGCATTATCGATTTGTCCTCTGCATATGTGCCCCGGCCTTGAAGGCTCAGCTGGCGACATTGATCTTTCTACACGGTGCTAATGTTAGCCGGGAAAGTCCCACCGTAGTGGGACGCCTGTATTTCTTTCCACGTCTCCGATCCGTAATGATTTTGAATGAGAAGATTGCTCCCCAAGCCTCTTATCTTATTTATCGGATAACGGTCGGATCGCATTGAGCCACCGACGGTACGAGGAGCATTCTCAACGGACATTTTCACGCTCGCACCGCAACCTTCTACCAATAATTAGTTTTACTTCAGTTTGGAGGCCGCTTGTGGTTTGAAGTCTTACGAAGTTAACGATACATATGTATTCATTAATTTGCGGTATTTTGGCAAAAACACAACCGTAAAATTTATAGCTGCGGTTAAAAATTAAATAAAAATGAATTATTTTGCATTGCTATGTGATTTGGAGCACGAATGGTCAAAAAAAGATACCAACGAATTACACTATATTGTATTAAATTCCGGGTTACCGGTTCGGTTGATAGTATTACCTTCATTTCGATCTCGTTGTTGTCGATGTCGATGCGCGTGGTCGCTTCGCCGACCTGCGTCGGCAAATAGCTGCGCCTGTAGTCGACCAAATGATGTGAATAGAATCTGCGCCGCCTGTAATGCACTCCGCCTCCGACGTCTAATTGCAGATTGGTTGCTGGATGGCTGCCCCACAGGCCGTACGTGTAGTTGACATTATATCGGTCCGAATGATTTTCGAGCAGACCGCGCAGTTTTAGCGTCTGTTCCGGATCGGGCGAATAATCGACGGTCAACTTGACATCCGCGAGCGCCTTATCATTCCTCTCGTATTCGCCGAGAATCGTGACATTCTGTAAATTAATTTTTAACATTCACATATATATTCATAAATCGTATCGTACCTTTTCAAGCGATGGATGTTTAAGTTCCAAGAGAATATTATGTCGATTGGGGATGTTTTTGTCTTGCGACCAACCAAAATCTCCTGCGACGCACTTGCGTCGCGACTCCTCGGCCATAGCATTGCTCCAGTCCAAGGACACACCCGAGGATAGCACGTAGTCGGTGATGTTATATGAGCCGGCGGCCGTAAAATTTCGCCGAGGGTACGATAAGTTGATCTGCACTTGCTGCGCTTCGAAGGAATCATCCTGCGGGACATTTATGATATTTTTATTTTATCATGCCTACAGCTTTGGCAAGCATACACTTACCACCGTATTGTTGCGCAAGTCGATTTCGTACGCGAGCCAATGCGTGGGACTCATTTCAATCTTGGAATATTGTTTAAACTGTTGGTCCAGCACATCATAGTTGGTCGTTAGGCGCACCGTGCGGTTAGAGTGGATTGCCATGAGCGTTATTTCTTGACCTGTTTCCTTCTTTAGCACTTTCATGTTCCCAGTTACGTCAAACGTGCTTCTATTGTGTAAGTGATACACTTTGAGGTGCTTGAAATCCTAAATAAATCATCTTGTTTAATGCTGATTGAATCGGTTAGGGCTAACATAATACAGAGTCCTAGGAGAACTTCGGAGAAGATTTGGGATTGCTCAGGTTTAGTTGTTTGTAGTTTCTTTGAAAGAATTTGTTTTTGTAGTGCGTGCACGTAGGAAATGCACGGGGTGGTAAAGTAAAATATTGTATGAGTTGTACGATTGTAGTTAATATTTCGCGTGGTCCACTCGCAAGTAATTTATATCATTTGGAAAAGTTTAAATTGGTCATAATTCACATCGGCTATGGATTATGGAGAAATAGACAATCTGCCACTACAGCTTTGGCGGTGCTTATGTCCGTCCGGCTTTCGTCGTCCGTTTGTTTTTCTCTCTCCACCCTCCCCAGCGTAAACGGTTATGTATGTGCGGCTTCAAACGACCGGATGAATGCCCGAACTCCAGATCACATTCATCACTCCGGATATGTACCAAAATTTAAATCAATAGTACCCCCTTTGTGTGCTCCCGTCATCCACGCTCACAACGTATGTGTACTACCAACCGGAATAGTTGCATCAGATCAATATGAACGCAAAAATACAAAGAAATGAATTTAATGAAAATTTAAATTAATAAAGTGTCTAATTATGAAAATGAGGCATCAAGTGCGTGTGGTGCAACTTTTTAATACCAAACGCATGTTGAAAGCACTGATGCTGAAATGTGAGACTTCTGACAGCCGCAAGAGCGTTCCGCATCTTCGCGTGCATGGCACAAAGCGGCGTGCCAATTAGGAAGAAACAAGTCGCGTCGTCTTTGCATCGGTGTGATGCGAGCAGCCCTAGAGTAGGTTTTAAGTAAGTTTTGTTCAACGCCCGACGCGCGAGCGCTGGCAGTGACACAATTAATACGGTACGAGACTGTGACTTCTAATTAAACCACCACCGCACCTATATTGATGTTGTTCGCAAAGAATGTGTCGGTCGAAGTTAAGCCGAGTGAGTGAACCTCCTGCTGCGGCAAAGACGTCAAATGAAATTTGTGTATAAACGACGTTTAAACGCCAAATTCATTCGCCGAGCAAACATTGATGAAGAACCCTCCTTGAGCATGATAATGAGCAAAGGTGTTGGATGAGAATATTTCTAGGAGTTTCTAGAAAGACGCGTAGACGGTCAGGATGGCAAGTAATAGATTAGGTAGGATTTTATAGCGGGCGTGTGATTTATTCGATGCACCCACCGTGGTTGGCGCGGCACTGCTGCCGCCGTACTCGAAGCTGCGAATATAGTCTGCGCCGACGGGGACCCACTTGTTCTCAAGCTCCACGTGAATCGTGTCCTTATCGAAGCCGGCGCGGGACTCCGACTGGCAATTGTACGTCCCGTTCAGCACTCGGTCCTTGTTGTAGACAACGGTGGCGTGGCCAACGCTCTGGACTGGCTTCGCCTGCAACACGAAATATGCGCCGATAACAGTTTTGCCGCTTGGAATTTACGCACGCACAGCGAGGATTACGTGCATTGTCGGGCGCGGAGAAAAGGCGAATAGATAAAGTGAAAAGAGCCGCGCGCCGAGTAACGAGATTTGTGACAAGAGGAAGAAAAATCTGAAGAAAAACTTCAACGGCGACTAACATAAACGACTATTTTCTCGCATTGCAGCAATTTGTGCATTGGTATACGTACGCTGTAGTCATAATCCACACGAGCCACATGCCGGGTCGTGAGTGGAAGCTCCACCAGCACAACACCCTTTGTGTCGCGTTCGACGGCTGAACCGCCAACCTCTGTGGTTGTGCATGTCGCGTTGAGGAATGCGTTATTGCGAGGCCAGAATATCTTGATGTAACGATTGTACGTCAACCTGTAACCAACCAAAACAAAACAACTCACATCAGAAAATTTTCCTAAAATTTTCCTAAAAAATTCTTACCGATTGGTTTCTGTAGCAAATTGAGCAGCTGTGTAGTTGAGTCCTTGGAAGGGTGTGGTTGCATTGATAAAACCGTTCATATTCCCGAATTGCTTGAAGTTGATATGCCCGCTGCCGACAGATCGATTGCCAGGGTAAAACAATTCTCCTCTGAAATGAAGAAAACCGGTCATTTCCTATTACTTTGCATTCTCTCGCTAACTTACGTGACATTGTGGAAAGCATTCCATGTCAAGTATGACATGTTCGCAATTAGCGCCTCCTGCTGAAATTTCGGAGTGCGCAATTTGTACAAGAGGTGCGTGATGTCGGCACTCTTGTGCAAGTCGAGGTAGTTGCGGACCAGCTTTTCATTCCATTCGATAAGCACATCGGCGTTCATATGAGTGGTGTTCCTATAAGATAACTACAAACCAAATATTAATCGATGCAATAACTCTCAGATAAACCATGCTTACCACACCAGAAGATCCATAATTTTTAGCTGATTTAATTGTGTGGTATTTTGCCATGTATTCAATATCAGTGACTGTACGTGAACCGCGGAATTGACCAGTCATCACGTGTGTTTCATCATTGGGTTTAGGCAATTGTAAATTTGCTCCTACAAGGTATCTACCACGTTCCGGACGGGACATTGTCAAGTTACTGCTCATACTAAAAAATAACCGACAGGGGTTTTAATACAAAGTCCAATTAGTTCTCTCTGGAATACCTACACCCAAGCATTGTTTAAATCCACATTGCCGCCAATCTTCAACTGTTCGAAGGCTTTATTCTTATTAATGTAAAATGCATTAATTGCGGCATCGCGTTTGTATTTCAGCTGCCGGTAATTGCCAATTAATTTAACGCTCATATTCTCCAGCAACAGCCAGGACCAGGTTGCTTCTATGCGACACGACGTATCATCGAGGTCGTAGAAAGCATTGGCATGTTTCTCTTGTTCACCTATTATACTGAAATGCAATAAAATAAAAATTTGTCATAAAAAAGTCGAAAAATTAGAAACATGAGCTGAATGAATATTTAATAGTTACGGTGCTTGTGTATTCCAAAACAGGAATATTACGAGAGTGCCCAAGCTAAGAGGGCGTTTGATAATTCCGACTGCTGCTAAGAGTTTCAATCCTCTTGCATCAGCAGGACTCGGGAGTTATAGCAGCGCCTGCGAGACGTTGTGGATTGTTTAAATCAATCATCTTTTTATTGCGCGCGACAAATTCTAAGGCTGTATGTTATGAGTGGATGTTTCGGCTTAAGCACCCTTATTCTATCGCCGCACACCGAGGGTGCCGAGAGTAATGCCATTACACCGCTGCCGCCATATATTTTATTACATCCTTTGTACACCCATGCAACCCATTTATTTCCAGGCAAACAACGACGCCCAGAAAAATGTTCAATGTAGAAAAAAGCAAAGGAACTAAACCTGCGACTTTAGATGATCAACTCATTAGAAAATAAGAAAAATTTTATGATTTTTGAAAATTAAATTTTTGTGGATTGAGTTTGAATAAATAAAACTCAAATACCTGTGCTGTAAAGAAAAATGAAAGAAAGTACAGAGGCAAATGAGAACCCATTATAAAGGCGAGAACGGTGCTCCGAATGCTCGACTTCAAGCGTTTGGTAGTACTTACAGAAAAGCCGCTCCAGTTCTGATCTTCTGAAGCCGCTCGAACGGCGTAACGGCGTCGATTGCGATGCTTCTGTTGGCGTCGTTCGACTCCGCTTTAGCGTTAACGACAAACGTCTTGTATATTTGATGAGACGTCTCAATCTGCGAATGGAAAATTTGATTACTAGCGCTCGCTCACGCGCTTCCACTCCTAATTAATACAACATACTTGCAGATGAAGGTCCCAATCGAACTTCGCCCTGACATTCGCATTCGCCGTAAACTCGGCGAACTTCTCGCCGTAACGCATCACGTTCGTGACGACAAATCCGCTGCTACGCGGCTGCATCTCATAACGCAAGGTGATCGGCACACCTTCCGCGCCCTCCACGGTCATATCAAACGCTTTCGGCATTTTGCCATCGTCGCCCATTTCTATCACGCCGGTAACGCGCAGCTTTTTGTCCTGTCTTGTTAAGACGCCTTGAATCTGATGTTTGCCGTTGGCTTCTTTCGCCAGCCGCCCGGCGAAATCCAGAAGATGCCTGCATACACAGATTAACACGTTGTACGTTTAGATAGATGCCGTAATATGCAAATGTTTCCGGTTATCCTACTCGCTCTTACCGTTTGCCGTCGAAGTCGACGTCGAGCGCAGCCTCCAGCTCGTTATCGCGGAGCGAAGCGTTCGCTCTAATTCCTAACGGGTACATTTGTATATTAGTTCTAGCTAATGCGTCCTGGTCGGTCACGCGCACCACAACGTCGGCCTCGATTTTCTCCAGACTCTTAAACGGCGTCTCTAGATATACGTACGTCTTCATATCTTTAAGGGAATTGAGTTTCCAGGCGGTGTCTAATTTGAACTGTAATCGGAAAAAAAAGTTACATAGTTTTTTGCTAGATTTCACTATGAAAACTTACATTGTTTGATTTATTATTATGCATTGTGTAAAAGAATTCAACTCGGTTGTCTTCTTCACCAAAATCTTTCATAAAACGTACACTGGACTCCGGAAGAGTCAAAATGGAAGTTAAAACATGACCATCAAAGCTTCCTTTTAAATATTCGCCTAAAATCTGCAAATTCATAAAAAAATTTTTTTTGTAAAAAGAAGAAAAGATAACTGAATACAAAACAATAAAAATACATAGGATATAAAGAAAATCGAATCCTTTCCGATAGAAACGATTTGAGCTTAGCAGCTTCACTTGATTGTAAAAAGGTTGTAGTGTCAGGCATAGAGAAATATATATGAGCGCATCTGCGAACAACCAATAAACCGACATTTGATTGCGTCCTTTCCCCTCGGCGGCGCACGTAAAAAGTTTACGGGTTCCAGAGCGTTTCACTTAGAGGTAGCGCACGCGATCATATAAACTTCTTCACACATTTCGTACCTCAACGCCAGCCAAGACGGCAATGTCGGTGGTGTTCGTCAGTAAGGTGATATTGGTGCCGTACGCGTGGTCGCCCTTCTGAAGCCCGCCTCGCACCTCGAGCGTCGGCAGAGCGTCGAACGGCGTGTGTACGAGGAACGTTGCATTATAGATAGCCTCGCCATTTGGGCGCATCCGTTTGAAGTAGTGGGCTAATGTGCCCGCCTGCAAAAAATACACTGTCTAAGCTAATCTGACTTAATGGCCGCAGCGCGTTTGTCAATCTCACCTTTATCCACCGGCTGCCGTTCAGGTAGTCGGCGTCAAGGGCGAGAAGATATTGATGGCCCATCATTATCCTGAACTCGAAGCTAGAGGTGAGTTCCTTGAAGGCGGCGTATGGCGTACTGAGCTTGAGATGATTCTTTATGTTGAACGCGTCCTGAAAAAACATCCCCAAACGGGATCAATATCAATGTCAACGAAGACATTTTCGATGCTGGCATCAAAATAGGCCAGCGAGGTCTAAGATGCAACTTACGCCGAAATCGAATTCATCTCGTAGAATTGCCTCGCCGTCGGGCAGACTTAATGTGGCGACGACATCGTAGACGGTGCCTTTCTGATCGATGTCGACGTCGATGATTACGCACGGGTAGAGAAGCGTATGCACTTCGGCGTAACCTGTCCAATTAAACGGGTCCTCCTCTTCGACGTCTTCGTCATCATCTTCATTGTCCTCGCTGTCATCGTCGTCCGGTTCGATGAGATCTTCGATGAAAGGACTGTCGTTGTTTTCATTCAGTTTTTTGCTGTTGTAGATTTGCTGCGTGCGGAGACCAAGTTCCGCCAGAGTTCTCGGATTTGACTTGCCGCTTGCGATAACTCCCAGCTGAAAAGTGCACACGCAAGAACGTGAAAGCCATAACAATAAATATACGCTTGTGGGAAGCGGAGGTGGTGCGCGTCGGCCGCGGTCCGAAATTGAGGACCTACTTCGGCAAGGCGCGCGGAAACACGCCGCCGGCGAAGAGGCACGTAACTACTTGTATAATGTGGATCCATTAAGTGCATAACTTGGTATAATGAGACATGTTTAAGCCTCGTGCTCTCGTGTTATAACAATGTGATATAGGAAATTTTGCATCAAAAGTACCAAAGAAGCAAATCTGGTATTTTCAACTTAAAGAGTGAACAAAACTATTTAAAAACAAACAAAAAGACCACAAATGGAAATTTGTTATCCTAATATTGCTGGTTTTTCTTTGTGAGAATACAATTTGACCGATCGATAAAAGTGTGAAATGTTTGCGGCATGCGGAAGCTACTTAGAATAACAGAGAGGGTTTGAGGCTATCGCGACCTTAGCGTAGGAATAAGCAAATTGTAAATCTCTGTTTTGACGAAAGATTCAGGCCCCAGCTCATAATATTCAGCATCTCTATACAGACCTGGGACATCGCCAACTTGACGGAAACTTCAAAGTCTAAGCCTTCTTTGAATATGAGTTTTGCGACGATACCGTTTTCTTCAAACCCATCGATGGGAGTGTAAATCTTGTACGAATACTCGAAGTCGGTGATATTAGCATAATGCCAAACTCCGGCAAAGCCGGCGAGCAGGGAGTTCCATCCAACGCGGAAGTCAAGCTGAAATAGAATGTGTAATTATATAATAATTACAGACATCGTTAGCAATGTGAACATAAACACTCCGACATAGTGAGTGAAATCTTACCGCTGCTGGTTGCAGTTTGCCAACGATGAGAACGTCCTGCAGAAATTCCAGCGGAGTCGCCAAATCGAAAAGAACATCGAAGTTTGCCAAACTGACGATGAGAAAGCGGACCTCAATGCCTGTCTTGCCAGTGGGGTATTCAATCTGCGCGACTAAGTGTCTCTGCACTTCGGAGAATCCGAAGCGGCCTTTAATTAATTTGAACTTTTCGATTGGCGTTGTTATATTAAAGACTAGCGTGCTACGCGACAATTTCTGAAAGTGGCCTGTAACATACAAAACATTCACATTCAGCCGCATAGAAAAAACACGTCAATTAAACTACGCCCGACGCCTCGTTTGCTGTGGGTTGTTGGCGTGGACCTTGCGTTTCTATTTGTGCATACCTTCGACGCTCGCGCTGAACTCCTTGTGATCCAGGTCTAAATTGGCAACTCCGCGCAGGTCGCGCGAGCTGGTTGCGTAAATCTTACTCACGAGCAGCCCTTTGTTAAATCCCTTGAAAGGGCTAACGAGAGTAACGGCGCCTGTTAGGTTCTTCATATGCGAATCCTCGTCGATCTGCCACGAGCTCGTTACGGCTATCTTCTGCTTCGGTTGGTACTGAAACAAAACGATGCAAAATCGATGTGAGTGTGTGTGTGCGTCAGGGCATACACCAAAGCATTGTTATTAACGATACCGCTGCGGAAGCCGCGGGTCGCTCAGAAATCCGTACCATCATGTGAACCTCCGAATCGACTTTGGTGCTGTTGTGACTGTGTTTTACGCTGGCACTTAACGACGGTATATCGCGCACGGTGCTGTCGAGCGCGCCTGTAAATTCGCATTTGAGCGTCGATGCCGTCGCCGCGTAATCTCCGAAGAGATCGATGGATACGTGCTGATCGTGCTGCCAGTACATACTGCCGTTGGCGCGATACATGTTACCTCTGTGGCTGAACCTGAACAGAGATATAGTAGACAAGATTAGGGGCTGATGAACTACTTAGCTGATGAAGTTTAGTCGCGAGTCGCGAAAATGCTCACGCACCCGCCATTTAAAGACGTTCGACGCCAGTCATCGAACGGTGTCAATACCAGCGATCGGATCTCCAGCATGGTTAACTCTTCATCATTCTTCAAGTCAATAGAAAGTTGCAGGGACAAAGAATCATCCGGTCCCCATGTGATTCCTGTGGTAGTGTCGAAATGTCCACCTAAATAACATATACGTTCAAAGTTAGTAGTTAATATTATCCACAAAGTGTCTTCTATTCACCTTCCAAATCAAACGTAAAGTATCCTTTAATGGTCCGGCCCGGATAGGAAATATAGAAGTTAGCATCATAGTTGTACGGTTTGGCGTTGGCGTAGTAGACGGTGACCACCAGTTTCTGGTTGGGATCCCGATTTGCATCCCATTTGACATCAAAACCCGCCTCCTTGTGAGTTTCCTTATTATTCGCCCACAAAGATACAGAGATATCTCTTAGCCTGTAACGTAACATTCATCACATTAACGCGATTTATATCTGAAATAAGTCTCTTGGTTCGGTATTGCAATGCACGTACGACCTGTTCATTGCAGGCGATGTCAGTCAAGATACAAAACTTGCCTCAAACTGCTTCTCAACTTACACTCAGAGGTATTAATTTAACTTACTGGTCAATGTGGAGTTCGAGCGATATCTCCCGTTTCTCTTTCAGTGATATCAAACTACTAATTGAGTAAAGTTTGCCCTTGTACAGCAGCCGTCCTGAACTCATTATTTCGTACGCCGAAGTTTGGATGTGGAGCACATTCAGCCCGTATTGATCGTCGTTGTGATCGGCCTGGAAAATTATGTGCAAGTTGTCTTCATTAGAAATTTAAATCTATTCAATTGATTATTAATTGCGTCGCGAAGTGCGTGCGGGTAATATTCAATCGAGAAGGGTTAACATGCTTATACCATTTACAAACCGCCAAAGAAGTTGTGTGGGCAATTGATGAAAGGATCGAATTTATGTATTGCCATGGACAAATAAATGTTAAGATAAGTATGTTTTGTGACTGTGGCGGTGTTGTAGCGATAATGTGTTTTCGTCAGACGACAGGAAGGAAAGATGGGATGACCGAGCCCCAATCTCCATCAAAGCTCAGACAGCTGAATAATGAGAAAGTGTCGAGCTTAATTAATACGAGCGCGTGCGATAGCGGTTGGCAAGGATGTACGGAAGGACCTCAGCGTCCGATCCGAGAGAGGATATGGGTCGGGGGACCGTACAACTGCCTTAATTCTCACCTTAATGTCTATCTTGAATACGGTGTTGTTGCGGTGGTAATAGCAATCTGCATTGATCTCACTAAAACTGGGCGATTGCACAAGTAATTTAAGGTGGTGAATTGCCTCGAGGTCCGTGCTACGGTCTTGGTAGAGTCCCTTGACGTCAAACTTATGTCCGCTAAACCAACTGCAGTCTAATTCAACCTGTTATTAAACAATAAATAATGTACGATTAAAGCCTGCACTTTCGCTATTGTTCACATCTTGTTATAATGCAAATGCATTCAATAATTCCAAGGAATTTCGCCATCTTGGAATTGTATAAAATATCCAGAGTTTAGTTTGACATCGGGGAATAAAGTAAAATTATTACTGCTGGTACCAAACGCGTGATAATGCGCGCGTCCATTAACCGCATTATTTCATAACACTGATATAATCAGGACAAGAGAAAATAGACTCAATTACATGTCTCAAGAGTGCGCTTTAACTGCGCGCCAGTCACTCTGGTAATCTGGAAGTTTTTTCCATGACCGTGGTCATAATTAATGTGAAAACTTACCGTATAGTCGCCGGAGTTTTTCTCTTTTAACTTGCCTTCGAGTACCATCGGTTTGAACGTCGGTATTGTAACATTTAAACGACCTTCGTACAGCTCAAGCATTTGACGTGGATGATACCAATAAACGCTAATGATCACATCTTTGTCCCGACCGGTACGCACCAGCGCCGTTACGTCCGTGCCGTAACCCATTTGGGCGTACGACAATAACGCTTTGACGTCCAGCTCTGTCTTCTCGCGAAATAAAGATGCACTCGCTTTAAACCGGGTGCCATTCTTGAGCGATCTATATGTTAGGAAAACGTTCATTGTGAGCATATCCCTGTCCACTGTCAGGTTCTTGTTGAGATGTGGACTGGCGTTCAAAAGGCCTTTCAGTAGAATGTGACCGGCCGCTCGCTGCAAATAGATCGTAATTGTTTGTTATTACTGTTATTACTTCGGTTGTTACTATTATTGACCCAATGGGCAAATTTTCCACCTGGTTGAATACACATGCAGTGTTTACCTGTAATGTTAATGTGGAATTAAAATTGTAGCTCGGGTACGCACTGGCCGCCACTTTAGCTTCGGCCGTAATCACTTCCATGTTAGGTGAGAAGCGTCTGGCCAGTGTTACATCTACCAACACCTCGTGTTCTCTCTTATCCACGAATTTGTAGTCCAGCTTTAAAGTGGATGTTACGGATGTTTTCGACAGTGAGACGTAGCCAAATAGCTTGGATGCAAGCCGCTTTGTTTTGAATTTCAAGTCGACGTCGTATTGCGAAATGCCTGCTTTTGAGATTAGTTTCACCGAACCTGTAATCGAAAAATAAAATAGATGCATAAGCTCTATGAGAATGACAAAAATAAACAAACCCTGCAGGTCGGCAACGCGCTCCTCGTTTATACCCAGGTATAACTTTGGCTCGTATAAAAATCCGTTGCGGATTTCTTGTTTTTCCAGCGATAAGAGAGCGTCAAAGTTTTTTTGATTGTTGATATCCAGTCCCAATTGGAGGTACTTTTCCGTATCGGTGTTTTTATACTTGCCGCGGGCGAGCACAGTCCCTTCAGTTGAGCGTAGTAAAAGTGTAAGGTTTTGACTTTCCTTATCAATGGTCATATTTGCACCCATGATGCGCGGAATGCTAGAATCAGGCGTGTCGAGTGTAAGACTCATGTAACTACTCGCGGGTGTCTCTTCCCATTTGTATTCGAGCAAATAAGTAATTGCAGTTGGGTCAGATTTTTGTAGAGACAATCTGAATCCAGCCGGTCCTGCCATGATAAAGTGCGGTACGTTGGCGATGTCAGTCACGTTCGCGAAATGATAATCTGCGCATAGCTTAAGACCCAGGGTCTTGTCCACAGCGGGCCAAGTACACGCTGATCCCTGCACACGGTATTTCTCAATGCCTTCCTGCAGCTCCTCTCCGCTGCCTTTCATAATTATCAATTCGGACCTGTTCATGCAAAGATGGACCGTTAATTACATTAGAAACTTTCACTCTAGACGAAGTTAATCCTACCTGACACCAATAATCTCATTGGTAGTTTTGGGCAAACCAAACTTGATACTCAGTAGCTTCATGCCTCGGATTTTCAAGTGTGCGTCGATAGCAGTGGTTGTATGCATGCTAGTCTTTAATTTGATGCCTGTGCTTGCGAAATACGCATCTACTGACATAGTGCCGACGATGTCAAGTGCGATGCTTGGATTGATGCTCGTGCCCACATCCATTTCCTTGGTCTTCAAGAAATTCTCAGCGTCCAATGAGCCTTTTAATTGTAGATTAATGGACGTCGTACCAACCGCGTTGAGCGTGACGGGCAGACCAGCACCACTCGACACAACGTAGCTGGTGTCCAGAAACATCGCCGCTTTGTTGAAATTGATCTCCTGTGATTACATAAATGAAATGAACATTTGCTCTCGGAGTGAAAAACGCGTTCAGATTGTAGACTAATATACACTCACCCTACCGGAGAGAATGCGCTTTAAGTGCTCGAATGGATCCAGATTTTGCAGTGCCGTGCGAATCTCCTCATCGCCATTAAATGTCGCATACTTGAGCTCATTGCCGAATAATTTCATTCCCAGGGCCACCTGTTGGGTGCATAATTACGCCGTTTTAAATCGCCCTCACGAAGAATTAATCAAGCGCGTCGGCATGCAAGCCGCCTGCATTTTAGAGCACTTACCTTAGGCGATCCGAAATTGTTATCCATCTTGTAGCCCAACTGGTCTATGGCATTGTCGTATTCGTTACCGTCGGGAGCGTCGCGACGGAAGCGCATTTGAGGAATTTTGTCTCGTAGATTTTTTGCGCCGTATTCTCCTTTGGGCCCGAAAATCGATTCTGCATAATGCTCAAACCCTTCGAGTCGACCGTACACCTGCAAACAAAGCCGGGGCGCGTTAATGCATGCAAGCGCAGAGAAGACAAAACAAGGAGGTAAAATAGCCTACCTCTAGCAGGTTGATAGATTCGCCGAATAAATCAACGGTCACGTTCAGCATAGCGGATCTAGGAATGTACGAATTTTGGGAAAATATTACATTACTCTCGTAGTTTCCGCCTGAAAAGAAACATTAATGGTGTATATTAATATAAGTGTGAAAAAAGACATGAAAACCTTTGTAAAAAAGACAAATTTAGAAAACTTTCCAAAATTATTTATAGGACATCATCAGTTGCACATCAAATGCCTCATTATTAAAATATTGTCTTTGAGCTTAAAGCTTATCAACGCAAATTTACTTTCTCCTGATAATATTTTTTCGTCCCGCCTCAATGGACAAAGCGATGCAATAAATAATAATTAGATTATCTACAACGACGTTCATCAAATTGACCCGCACGCTGGAGATCCAATGCAAGAAGTTGGGCCGTAAAAATAACACTTACCAACATTATATTCTTCGAAAAAAACTGAGCCCTCGTAGTTATGGGAAAACTTGCGCACGTCGCTGCTAAACTTTTTAGTCAGATCTTTGTCGGAGAGCAGACCCTGGATCTCTACGCGGCTCGGAATTGATGACTTCAATAAATTGTGCAAATGACTCCAAATAAAAGATCCCACTAAAACCAAAAACGCTCATGAGATTTCCCAGCACGCGAGGTGCCAACAAGCCACCATTGTAGAGAAGCGAAAAAAATTTGCTGTGTTGGATGTAGTCAAACTACAGGGCGGCTTCGAAATGTAGACCTCAAGCACATAACATTAGCGTATTCAACACAACTCGAAACAAGTATAAAAAATGTTAAATTATAAAAGTTTTTCTCTCCCGGCCGACGCGGCACGCATGAAGCGTGCTTATAACTTTTATGTCATAAAAAGAGTCAATGAGCTATAACGTTGGCTTGCTGTTAAAATGTGGAAGTATTTTCATCATATCACACTTACCTTGATTCACCTCTTCATACTCCAGACTGTGCTTAATCGTTCTTATCACGAGATAGTTTGGACAGCGCATTACCTGCAGATACGCAGCAATACGAACCTCCGAGTCCTCGTTTTCATTGCGGAAGAAATTCTCAAAATATTGGCGCGTTTCCTCGCACGGTAACCGGCGATGCGCTTCGACTGCGGCAACTCTAATAGCCACATCCAGCTGAACATCCTCTGTCATCATACGCAGTTCCTCTTTAAAGGACTCCGAGGCAACACCAACGTTGGCAAGCGCTTTCAACGCGACCAAAAGCTGCAAGCAGAAATCACATATGCGAGTGCATGTAGAACGCACCCTCGAGCATTTCCATCATTCGGCATCGGCTTAGTGCCTCCGCTTTTCTACGCTGACGCTCCGCAGCAATCGATAAGCTATTTTGTTTATTCAACATTTAAATATTATATGCGAGGCATGCGATGTCCCGCGGCACCTCAGTCAATGTTTGTTTACGTACCGTCTCCTGTGTTTTGCGATCTCCTTTATGCGAATTATATGCTTCGCTTGCCCTGTCTTCTAAAAGTTGAATGATGCCATCGATGGCGTCCGAATCCATGCGACAATCGACGTTTTGTTTGCAGTACGTGTGTGCCATCGACGAGATGGCCAACACCGTTGCTGGGTCCTTTTTCCCTTGAAGGAGTTCATATGCAGTCGTTACCATCGCTTTAGAGGGTAATGGAACTAATGCTATTGACATCATCCAATCGCGGATAACATTTTCGGGCGCGCCATCATTTAAAACGATTGTTTTCATCAGTTCTATGGAAGCATCACTGCCGAGATACGGCAAAACGTCTATTACATGCTTCCTGAAAGTGCATATTTACCAATAAAATACCTTAATACCTAATCCTGAAGAAAAAACTTACTTTCCCATATCACACAAGGTGCTAGCATGGTTGTGTAGCGCCTTGAGCGCAGGCGACGAGAGAAGTCGTGCGGTGTGAATGAATTTTGTGAATAAATCAGAGAATTCGGTTCGAACGTCATCTGCGCTCACCCGGCACAATTTCTTAATCAAATCGCGCGACGACTTCAACTCGCCGGATGTGGGCTTCGGCGTTGGGACGTGGTCGTACAGCAGGGGTGTACGTCGTTCAATTGGTGCCTGTTCTTCGACAATCTCTGGTACTTCGTCGATCAGCGTCAGTCGCTGGCGCACAATCGTCGTTGCACCTGCGGCTCGATTGGAAAACGGCTCGAAGATGTGCGACTCTTCGCATTCCACGTTTTGGTAGATGCGATGGTCGATAGAGAATTCACAGCGGGCCTCCGACTTTAGCAAACTTTTACCCTTGTAATTCTGCAACATTTTGTAAGCACTTTAATCCGCACATCCCCGGAAATCCGCGCCAGCATAATCAGCGGTAGTAAAGTGGTGAAGTAGGAAAACATGAGGGTTGCGATGTAAATTTAATAACTATGACACGCGTTTGCAAAGTATAGGACCTAAGCAAACATTGTCACAGTCAACACTAAAATGTGGTCACGCACATGTCATGATAACAAAACTTTACGCATGCTGACAACTACACCTACAAGTGTAGTGTCTTATCAGAATTGAATAGATTCTAAACCTACCACTCTAAAATTGTAAGGAGTCGATTGAATCATGGAATGCAGCCGGGAACGACTCTCGCAGGTGCTCATATCCTTATACTTCTCGACAATCAGACTGGTTCCCTTGGGTCCTTGAACACGATACTTGGTTTTGCATCGTCCGCGCACGTCTTCCTCATCGTCCACCTCGTGATCCAGATCGAAACGACGCATTGAGTTGTGCAACATTGTGAGAATACCCTTTTTGAAGTTGAGTACCCAGTTTTTTTCCTCTTCGTAGGGACACACCTCAGTGACAAGACCATCATGGAAAGCGAAACGCATGGAGAACTCTGTGAGTACATCACTGAAGGCTTGGCTGTGCTCATGCAGCGTCTCATCCTCATTCTCCGTCGACCATACATTTAGCCGTTCTGGGTCTGCGGTGTTTTCTTTGCTGTCGCCGACACCTTGCGACTTGAAACTCTTACGCAGAGTTACATCGCTTAGTGTTAGGATGCCGTCGCAATGGGAAATGAAGTCTAAGTGAACGTCGCCTTCAATAAATAAGCTCGATTCGTTTTTGCTTGTGCCCACGAACAGCGAACTCACGTTAACCGCATATTTGTAGTTATGTCGGATACCGGGTCGGTATACAAATTTTCCACCTTCTGAAAGTTATGTACATGTTTTATGAATTACATACATTCAATTATCAAGCAGAGCAAAATTTATTTCAATATTACGGAGAGCAGATTTGTTTATAACGTTTTTAGTTTTTCACGAACACAAAAGCATTCCTTTTTGAGATGGCATGCGAGAAATACTTGTCCTACATAGGAACACGATTCGAATTATGCCTTTGAAATCGTGTGAATGGGTTCTACCATCATATTAGCCCGTCCATACTGGCTTGCACAATTGACATAAAATGATTCTTGAACAATAGCTTACAGAATTTTGCCAGATTTAAAAAAATCAGAATTTAAGTATTTTCACCTGTTTTTACGAATATATTCAAGCTCAGACATTACGAGTATTTAATTTATGTTATTTTATTAACAAATTGGGTTGTAAACTTACCTTTACACTCTGGCCTGCCACATATGTTTGGATCCTTTAACGGATCTAAAAACAAACAAAAACAAACAGTTAATATTCTTGCTCCCACGATTTTATTGCCTGTTGGTGAAACTATAACAATAAATAATCCTTTGCAATAATTAATCCTATTCAATACCGATTCATGACAAATCCCAGTTTACCAGGCTAATGATTTTAATCCCACTACAAAATAAATAAATTGAAACCAATTTCACTAGTTGAACAAATCTCAAACGTCCAATTTGCGACTTCATATTTTCAAAATCCAATCTTATATTTTGAATGCGTTTGCATAAAATAATTTCATTTTAATGCAGCAAGCTTTATTTCTGTATATTTGATATAGACAGACAAAGCATAACATTAAATGATGACGTGGGAGAACTTTTTTTAATTCGCCTTTAGCACTTGGAACGTGTTTTCTTTTCGAGGTATATAATATTAAATTTTGCGGTTCAAATATATGTAGATTATCTAGTGAGAAAAGCATTGCGCATAAATATTTCAACATCACCGACGGTAATACAATGCTAATTATATTTTCGCTTTGTTTCGTAGCGCACGGCGTTACGCTGTTTTTTTGGGCAATTCTACATGCAATTTTCCGCGCGTAAAGACAAGCTCCAGCAGCTGCATCGACTCGGTTGCGCCCGCAACACTCACATCTTTACCGCCGCCTCCGAACACAAAGCATCAGCGAAGAGAGAAAGCACACGAGCGAAGTAAGTGAGACTATAAATAGCAATTTTTACATTGGTCCTGGTTTGGTACTACTTTTTCGCCCACTTCCCTTCTGCGTTTCTCGCGGGAGCGCCATGTTTTTTTCTCAGTGGCTCTCGATCCGTGTGTGTGGTAGTTAAATTTTCGAAAAATATAAAAATGCTAGATGAAAAGCTTTGGTCGATGGAAAACGCGGCTAAACGTTAAAGTTCTTTCACATTTTATGTTTGTTTGCGTTTGTATTTTATGCGCGCGGCGTGTAAACGAATGAAAGGAGCGCGTTTGGTATTGGCGAATTCCAAACGGCACGAATGTCCGGAAATTCGTACGCTGTGTTTGCGCTACGGGGGTCTGCGAGTACATTTATAATTTTGCGAGCGGCCGCACGGCTTCGATAGAAAAATACTCATCGATACGCAACGCTGCCGACGTGTGTTGGCTGCGAACACTTCATTCTCGATTGGTTTTTTTGTAATACGGCCCAACGTTTGTGAATTAATCAATGCACCCTCAAAAACAATATACAGTCGCTGCATATTTTAATATCAATTCGTGATGTAACCGAGCGTGAGGAAAACATGCGAATGCGCACAACTCTGTTTATCGAGATTTGTTGAAGCACATGTGAGTGGAAACATTTGGTTTTGGACAGGAATTTAGTGTATCTTTGAGTCACGGATTTTTAAAAACATAAAACATCAACAGATTGTCCAGTTAAGGCCTGAATTTCAGTATATCCTTACTAATATTATAAATGCGAAAGTCCTGATGTTTGTTACACTTTCACGCAAAAACTTCTTAACCGATCATCATGAAAATTTGTACACATATTCTTAGTGGTCCCCGAATCGTTATAGGCTACTTTTTATTTAATAAAAAATATATTTTTTAAATAAAATAAAGAAATAGTTTAGCCAATAATACCTCTGCATCTGGCTATTTGACTACTTTAACGCCATCTAGCATTCCAGCAATGAAGCTCAAACCTAAGTACTATAGTACCATCACACTGTATTACCGACAACTACGTCAACATCAAATCCAATTGACTACACTATGGAGACTGTACACTATACTTCCATAGACTATACTTTCAGCCATTTTAAACTTCCCGCCATTCTACTTCATTGTTACTTCTTCTGTGACTACAGACGCATACGGAAGCAACCTCATTATTTTAGATATTTGCGAGCGAAGCCGCGGGTTAAAGCTAGTTTCTAATATATCTTAATTTTCTCGAATTTCTGGCGTGTTTACTAAAAATATTTGCAAATATTTTTAAAACAACAGCGTTGAATATAATATTTATATTAATAACGTAAACGTTAGCAAACGCGTCCAACAATTGCATACAAAAATAACAAAAGTGCCGGCCCCGCTTGAGCGACACGCTAAAAAAATAATAAATACACGCCGTACGGGTTGGTTTCGCGCACATATTGCTCGCCGCGGGTGTCCGCCGCGATTCTATAAGCGGACAATGAAAATATTTCGAATTCCCATATACCTTTATTATAAAATGCTAACAACATTCTCAACGCAATCTAATTTCGGCTAAATTGATATTTCCTTTTTAAGCGGTCTCGTTGCACCGCTTAAATCAACAAGACTGCTTAATAACGGCTTATTTAATTTCATTCCAAATACTTACTCTGACCACCATTTATGCTTAATTGAATGAGTCATATTTAAACTTGAAAATTGCCCGTTTTTCATATATAAACTCACATCTTAATTGTATCACGAAGATTAGCGCACATATCAACCATTAACAGTTGTATTAATCACATGGATTCGAGCTCGGACGGTAGCAGGGCAAACAAGCGAAAGTTATGAAGCACGTAACGTGTTTACATCTTATGTTTACAAATTGTTGGAATTTCCAGCGAGCGTTGATGCTGGTTCATCGTTATCGCCGGTTTTATGAATGGGAGTCGAATGCGGCGCGACGTTATGAGTTAATCAACAGTCCGAACACTGCCCGAGTCGCTATCAAGTGCGCCTTTATTATTAGATTATTTCTGCGATATCCGAACTGGACGACAATAAATGCTATTTACACGCTGCCGCTATCGACGGCTTCGAATTATGGGATAACTTCATTGGAGGTCGTAATTTAATTAGACGCTTCATTTCTCGCCCACGTGCAAAATCTCGAGAGGTGCTTTTAAATAATTACGTGAATGATCGGTTACTTGTTGATCCGCATTTTAAGTTTTAATTTCGCAATTTGCCTAATTGAATTCACAAATCAACAGTGATTTGTTTTCGTCAAATCACTCTTAAAATTAGTATATAATGTTTAATTTTACAATATTTCATAATATATCATAATATTTCACAATTTTTTTTGAAAACAGAAAATCTTGGTTTTAAACAAGTTGGACACCCCTGAGACATAATTTTATACAGACTCTAGCAAATTATTTAAAACATTTGTATTAACACTGTCGTAAACGTTGCCGCCTATTGTTGCCGAGTTTGTTTAACAACTAAAACTTCATCGTTTTGAAAATGTTATAACTTGATGCAAGTGAGAAGAGATTCACGAAGGATAGGAGGCGGATGAAAATGCCACAATCCGAATACCGCCACCACAGTGTTGTACTCCGCCTAGGAAGGAAACGCGTCGCTAGTTGAAGTGGAGCGTAGTCGTTGTTCATCAATTTTCATTTTACACAACTCAAGCATTATTGTGTTGCGATGCTCACGTGTGCCTGCGGTCTGCTTGTTTGTATTTAATTAATAATCAATACCGGTGCTGTTTACGTATTTTCCTCCGGCAAGTTTTCTGCACTGAGATAACTTGCATCCTTATGTTGTCGAGTTTCTTTAGGTTCGCGGAGAAACGTACGTAATCGTTACCGGCAGCCATAATTAATTTCAAGTTTGCAACATTAAGTTGTCGTTAGTCGCGGATGCGCTGTTTGTTCAAATGATAAACGTATGCGTTTATTGAAGCTAGTTGAATTTGAATAAGAATTTCCGTAATATCAATATTTTCCATGCGTTAGTTTAATGATTCAAGCAAAAATAAATGTGGGAAACACTTAATCTGTTATCAGTTACAATAAAATATTGATTACTGAATATAGTTGAGTATTATCACAAAGTGTTCTTGACGTAAATATATGTTATGATGTAGTTCAATCAGTATTTGCGATTAATATGTAATAAATATAGTATCAGAACACCAGTGACATGCATCGCGACGCATCAGAGAGAAACAATTTGTTGTTGACATTTAATAAATAATGTACGCTTAGGAATCAGCTTTAACAACCTGGAAAGTAAATATTTAACCAGGCGTAGTTGCAATAGGTGTTTGGTTTTTGTACTGTAATCATCCTGCCGAATCTGTAACATTATCTGTCACCAACACAGTCCACCAAATTCACAACTGAGATTCATGATTTATTACTACAAGAGTAATGGTAGAGTAATTTCAAAAATATTCTCAACTCTTATTTTTATAATATTATTTGGATCTTGTTATCATAATTTTAAATTAAACTTAACTTTTGATGTTAAACATTTCTAATTATCATATTTATCGGAATATCGTTGACCGCCGTTGTTCACTGCTCGATCGGAAATGTATTTAGTTCAATTTTAAACAAATAGTTTACGAGTACACTGAAGCAATACATCATCGGCGCCGCATAGCCATTCAGCAGTTGGGCCGTCCCTTCATTCATTTATTCGGCATCGTTTCGTTTTCCGCTGGCGTTCGCGCATATGCGACGAGATGCTGTGGTTAGTTTCGCTCAAGTACCGAAGTATGTTTGATTTATAGCGTTTTCCAGATCGAGAGGGGAATATAAGTTAGGTTTACGCGAACGCGCGTGTTTATATTGTGGATTTGCAAACACCAGGGGTGCGCGTTACGGAACAACAAGATGCTAAAATTCGATCTTCTAAATGCCGTTTCTTTAGCTTCGCTTCTGTTTTTCTTTCCATTCCTGTTTTTTCTTTGTGTTGCATAAATCAAGTGTATGTACAAACGCCGTAATACTTCATTCAAGTAAAATTCACGTATCAATGAAACACAAAGTTTTAATTTTAATTTTATGTTGCTGCTTTTCTTGGCATGTGAAATGTTAGAATAAGTAATTATTTATAAGTTAGCTCATAATAAGCGAAGATATAAAACTGACATGTTGCAGCAATTTTACTGCGCATTACTTCCAGTTTAGTTGGCTTACAAATTTCCGCAAAAACTTTCTTTTGCTGGAAGTTGTTGTCTAAAGAACTAAAACCCAACAAGCAAAAAATGCGTCATGCATACACGGAAAGTTTATTTTTCCTTGCAGAATTGCGCTTGCTTTGTGCTGCAAGTAACCGTGGACATAATATGAAGAAAATAACATGTACCTACAATGTTTTGTCTAATTCGGAAAATAAACGGCGGCAAAACTAAACAAAACGAACAAAGAAACTCATTTTCATTTGGCAGCGTTGTCGGGCTACGCTTTGCACTTTTATGAGCATTTTCACTTGAATTAAATGCTCGATACTAGTGCTAGCCGAAAATGTTTTGTTTTTATTGTTTATTAACGTCGACGTTATATTTTCTGCGCACAATTTAATGACCACGTGCCATTGCGCTACGCCAAACCGTCCACAAACGGAAACCAAGTCGTAAAATTTAATAATTGCGAGATTTCTGTTTGGCAGCAAATTAAAAGCTGCCAAATTAATAAAATATTTAACAATTTCCACAACGCACGCGTTTAGGGCCGTATAAATTACCCTCCCTGGTATTAGCTTCTCAGACCACGTGTTGATATAAAACGCTAGTATGGATAAAGGTAAACAAGCGTTGCGGCAAAATAAAATATGAAGTCAACTTACTGTTTTGCGCGAACGATACGCCGAAAAGCGTCGTCGTCACCAGCATCAGCAACAAAATCAACCGGAGGCGGCCCATGTCGCCCCGGCGAGCGAAAAACGTGCCGATTTTAATTGCTCCTCTTCTTGGCGGATCTCCGCTGACGAGGAATGGAAAACCGTAGCACTAATTAATCACACCGACGATAGAAATACAAGAATCGCACACATTCACGAACGGCGCTCAGTCACTGACGATGCACACACGATCGATTATCGATCGGCAATTGTCCGTCGCTTAGTAAAGCGATACTTTTCGAGCGCGACGCTGACGAATGTCGAGATCCGTCCGACGTTGATGTAACTAATACAAAGGTCGCGTGTTCAATGGTGGCCCACATCAGCGTCCAGCCAGCTGAATGATAACCGAGTTCAAAGGGTCGAAGGTTTGACGCGATCTTTCGATTTCGGTTAAGTTTATCACTATTTCTAGATCCCCGCCTCCCAACCCCTAGCACTAAGACGCATTAACAGAGTTAACTTATTGTTAAATTTAATGTTGTCACAACACTCATCAATGCGAGTGAATTTCAAAAATAGAAGACGTTAAATTGTTTATGTGCGTATTGAACCCTCAAGGTCGAGTGTTACCATTTGCATAATCCATGCTAATGATTTGCTCGTTTTGTTTTCTTCGAATTCAATTGTCGTACTGATAACAGTGATTTAATAGCAGATGCTAGAAATGCGCTGAGTGCGCATGGTGCAACAGAGTTTTATCTCCTTCTTTGACGCGGCAGATTTCGTGCCCGCGCGCACTTTCGCCTCCGGAAACACATGAAATCAGCATCAATTGTTATCGCCGCTGATTTTTGCTATATATATATGTCTCGGCGGTGCGCGCTTTAGCATCGATTTGGGAAAAGCTCACGCTGCTTGGGTCATTGTCATGTGAAGCGGGCGCCGTTTGCGGGCGCAGCTCGTAATCCAAATCTAATTCTATCCAACGACCATCGAGTGTATCGGAACGTCGTAACTGTAACGCTCGATTTTCAAACACACTGCCAGCAGCGCTCTTTCTAATCCTCTCGACGTTATTACTCTCACGTGAAATTACCGACCGCTGAAATCATCGTCGCCGAGCGAACTAATCTGGCAGTGCAGTTTAGACAGAACTCCGAGTCAACGGTGCGGCACCAATTCGAGATTAATTAAAATTATCGCTAAGAAGCTTCAGTGTCCGTTGCTCCAGGCGCGCCCGCCTTCGCGCGGAATATTGAAATAAAGCGAACGAGGAAAGCGCACCAGACAGGACGAAAATGTTTCGCAAGTTTAACGCGCGTCGCCTCGCATATATTCGTATTTTTCGCTAAGAATCGTAGATGGTAGATTGTTTCCGCTTTCGCGTTTCCTTTACGTTGTCGTCAACATGATATTAGGTTGGTCTTTATCCGCGTTTATTTACACTCCGCGAGGTGCACAACTCTCAGAAGCACCTGTCTACAATTATTTCACTCACAGTTATCCTTATCATTTTCCTGTCATTTGAGATACCGCTGCACATCTGCGCTAGTGAACAAAGTTGGTGATGCGTCCTGCTTACATCCTGTTTATTCGTGTTATATTCCAGAATTTCCGCGCGAATAAACAGCGACATCGAAGTGGAAACGCAATTACTGAGTGATTAAGAATAGTTTAGAGTATGTAGCGAGTAAAAAAACGCAGTAACACATGACTAGATTGTGCACGATTGTTCGTTTACTGCATATCTGGACCAACTGATGGAAGGGGGACAGACTGTTTCAATGATACTACGACCCGGACGTTGGTTAATTTCTGAATGGGAGAGCAAACGGCATGGCTACATTGAATACAGTATCATTGACCAAAGGCAGTGCGCATTCACGCATTGTTTCTGCGCATTGATGCCATAATTAATGAGGTAGTCACCGACTCTCTCTACAAATGTTGCATACAGACCCATTGAACACGCAGGATTGAAGTGGCCTGCATGTCCTGTGCAGGTACAGAATGAATATGAGTTAGTCACATTGACAGTAATTTTCCTGTGCATTAAAATGATACAAATTTCCTTCATGGTCACAGATGTTTTAGTAAAATGTCTTATCCAACCTTATAAATTGGATTTCTTTGAATCTGCTTCTTTGCTCTGTTGTGCAATTACAGACAGGTCTACAGCACCTGTTATCTTCGATATACTCTTAGAAAGTACCTGAAGCATTGATATCAATGCTAATAATGGCGTAAACTGCGATAGCTCGTCCTTCGATTGTTAAACATGGTAGTAAAGTGATCCAGAGATTTCAATCGCAAACGACGCGTCGCTTCCGATTCAATCCTAAGCGAAGGAGGCACCGGGGTTGCAATACGACGACACATAAATACAACGAGAGTGTCGCGTTTGCGTTTTCCAATTCCACCAGCATGCGCATTGTTTTTACGTATCGGGCGCCTGCTGCATGCATACGATCGTCCGCCGTGCCGCTCGTGCCGCTTATCGCCCCGATCTAACATAATGACCTACAGGCGAAGATAAAGTGCTGGAATAAACAGCGTGTTGCGGGTTGCCTGCAGAGTAGAGCACGATTAAGGTTAGATCGGTTGGACGCATAGCGTACCACTAGTCTAAACATACCTGTACTTTGCGATTTCGAGCTTCAGTGGCGTCTTATAAATTAGCCTGAGGCACAAACATGACATTCGGGCCAGTATCAGTTCACTATTCATTAACATATACCTTCTGCGCTTGTTGTAACTCAAGTTATAGATATACCAACAAGTCTGTACCTACGGTTAGCGTAAACATTTACACCAAGTTGGTATCTGCTTAGCAAATCCGCAATAAAAATAGAAAACAAAACGTACTTTTCCTGGAGCGCGAAGGTTTTATTTTTATTTGTTTTCGCCCTTTGTGTTTTTACTGGTGCCGCTCGTTACGGGCACTTGTAAATAACATCAAATCGCATTATACACATTTTGAACGATAAATTTTTACACTGTTTGCAGCCCGTTTTGTTTGTGAATGTTTGCGTTGACTTATTGTTGACTAAATCAATAATTTACGTTCTGGCCATTCATTGTTTTGACTAAATCTACACTGCTATCGCCGCAATTAATGGGTTTAAATTCTCCAAATTGTATCCGCTTATGAAGCTACTACACAAGCGCAATCACGATGTTTCTCAAGGTTATTACAAAGTATAAATACACTTACACTATTAATATATTTTCCAAAATCTACAAAATGAACAATTTATTACCGCGGTATATTAAGACACAGATTCCAGTCACACAAATTTCCGTATACACTAGGTGTACATGTGGCACTAAAGTTATTCGACAATTTTAATTGCAATTCCCAGTAATAAAAGTTGGAAAAACAAATATGAATCAAGTATGCTGCATTGCCATCACTGTTGTCAGAATTTTTAGGGGATCCAATTGCGTTCAAAATAAACTGCCTTTTTGTAATTCTATTTCATCAAGTGAAAGAAATGATGTATCAAATGATATCAATATCAATATCACGTGAGGGAGCATGATGGTAGCAATATTTTCGCTGTTAACAAGCACAGTTAAGAATAAGTTACGAACAGTTGCGGAATAACTAGGAATAAGCTACTTACTGAAGTCTGTTATTCTTGATACACCAAATAATATTGACTACATAAAACTTAGTGCATAGTAAGAGCATAATAAATATTGGTAGAATCACACAATTTAGTAGCGTAAAATTACATATTTTTTGCACAAATACCTTAAGTAAATAAACGCATTCTTTAGTTTAACATTGTATAATTTCAATTTACTAGGTTATGCTTTGCAGAAGAGAGAAAGAGTTTCCTCATCCTGAAGACATGCCCAAATGATGGAGAAATAACTTCTCTATGTACATAGCACGAAAAGGTTAGTTTCTATTGGTTTTAAATTTAATTGCATATGTTATTAATTTGTTCCATTTTTTATAGACGTTATCACCTGGTATGTCCATTCACGAGTTCATGTCAATAGCAACTTTCCCGCCAAATTGCACCCTTCCAGAAACATTCGGCATCGACTGTAATGACTCTCTACACGCTGCCAATGTGGATATTGTTACATCATTGGGTACTAGAAGTATCTGTATCAAAGCGGATATCGGAGAAATACTGCGGTCTGCTGAAATTTTGCAAATGCTTTTATACCAATTTGATTATTAATAATATATTCAAATAAATAAATAATAAACGTTATAAATTTTTTTAAACTTAAAGCCCTTTTATAACATAGGTATGCTCCCTACTCATTTGCAATGCCAAATCCTCAGACGGAGCTCTAATGCATCCTGTATCTCGGCAATTGGTTGACCAATTTTGAGTTTCTTGCTGCCATGTTATAGTCCAGGATACTCCTTACAACATAATGCCCTTTTATTGAGTTAAACCATTGGGAAATTTACTAAAATGCACCTTAAACATGAACTTTTTTAACAATATTAAGAAAATGGTGTATAAAATGCTCTGTATATCCGTATCAAGTTAACATATTTTAAATTTTACCACTATGTTTTAGCTTGAAAAACCCTCTACCGTTGACATACTTATTTAATGTACTAAATTCTTAGCAACTGCCGTAAAATATCCATTAAAATTGCTACTTTTTCAAAATTTAGAAAGGTTGGTGTGATAAACACTCTGTATCTTGGGAACCAATGGAGAAACTTGAACTGTTTTATTCACATGTGATAGCTAAAGAGTTTTTCTATAAACTCTGTACCTTTCACATCTTTTAAACCCTTAGGAAGTACTTAAAAATGTTATTAAAAATTTCTATCTATTCAAATTTTCAAAAATATAGTTTGGAAAACGCCCGGTAGCTTGGGAACCAATAGAGCAATTTTAACTGCATCATCCTTATATTATAGCTAAAGAGTTCCTCTTCAAGCTGCGTACCTTTCCAAGTCTCTAAACCCTTAGGAAGTATCCAAAAATGGGAATTAAAAATTGGTGTTACTTTAACAATTTTTCATTTTGGTGTTAAATATTCCGTGGAAATTAATTTCGTTCAACTGGTTTAATAAAAATATTTTCTGCTGAAAGATAGGGACGAACTTTTTTAAACGAAATTATTATCTGTCGAACAACAGGGTCGAACTTTTTTTTAACGAAATTATTATTTACCGAACAACAGGGTTGAACTTTTTTTAACAAAATTATAACCTGTCGAACAACAGGGTAGAACTTAAATCTTAATTTTTTTTAGGACGAAACCGTGAAAGTGCGCCTACACCAAGAAAAATTTTATGGAGTAAATGATAAATATCTCGAGAACTAAACGGGCTAGAAAAAAATAAACTTCATATTCT